TGAAGTAGTAAATATAACAGTAAATTAGTTTAAAGCACAGAAATGACACAAAACAGAACTTTTAGTTTGCATCATAAATTATTCACATCTGTTACCTTTTTCCAGGAACTGTATATAAGAAGCCATTAGTTCCTAAAGACCATTTTGAAGGTCAGAGAGGGCGCACAATAATTATATGCTAGAAGGCCTCAAATTCTACCCTATGATTAACTTAAGTGATACTGTCCTAGAAAAATAATCAGATTTTTGACTGATAGCTTTAGATATGGGGTGTGTGTGTGTGTGTGTGTATGTGTGTGTGTGTGTGTGCGCACGCACACATGCATGCAGTCATGTCTGACTTTTTGTGACCCCATGGACTGTAGCCCGCCAGGCTTCTCTGTCCATGGAATTCTCCAGGCAAGAATACTGGAGTGGGCTGCCATTTCCTACTCCACACTAGATATGTTATATCCTATTAATAATGATTTTCTACTAAAATATATAAAGTATAATTTCTCAACACTGTTTTTGGTAGCAACAAAAGCTCGTAGCTTTCCTTTCTAAATTAACTTATTTCTTTGCAAAGGTAAAACATTTTTATTTTTCAAAAAATAAGGTGAAAAATCCCCTATCCCCTTTACCATCTGCTCTACCATCCCCAAACATTAATTTTTAACTCCAGAAATATACGTACGAGATGAAATCCCAGAAGTAAAAGTTCTGGGTCAGAGGTTATATGCCTATTGTAAATATTGCCAAAATTGCCTTCCACAGGAGGTATACCAGTGTGTATATCCCATGTATAAGAGTCTGAATTTCCCACAGCCTTGGCAGCTTAGTGTGTTTTAGACTTGGGTTTATTTTGTCAGTACAGTATGTGGAAGTTTCAGATCTCTCATTGTGACAAAAGAGTAACTTCTTTTTGCATGTTTGAAATCCATTTGTGTTTTTTTTTCTTTTCTGCAAAGTGCCCTTAACTTTTGTCCTGTGTTCTTTTTGGTTGTTGGCTTTCTTCTTACTAATTTGCAGAAGCTCTCTTTATGGGTTAGGAAATTAATACATTATCTGAGATGTCTGTCACAAATTTTTGTTTCATAATTTATCATTTTTCCTTTTACTTTGCTTTTAGATTTCTTCACCATGCATACGTTTCTGATTTTTATATTGTCCAATTTACTAATGTTTTTGATTTTTAATTAAAGATGACTTGAGGATTAAAGTTAATTTAAGATTAACTTGAGGATAAAATTACACGTTTTCATGTTGTTGACTACTCTGGACACGTTTTGCTTCTTATATTAAGAAAAAAAGAAATTAATCCTGAGTCTGGAAATTGTTTTTCTTGCATTCAACTGATATTTATTGAAGATCTATCATGTGTAGGAATCTAGTTATTAAATTAAATGTAAGTAACAAATTAAATAGTATATGGTAAATGCTATGATAGTGGGAAGCATAGGTTTGTGAGGATATGTCCAGTATAGGTTCCATAACTAAGCTGAAAACTCCTTGTGCCCCATAATCTCATTGTAAGCAATCCTTTAATTATTCCAGATGTTAGTCAGATCTCACCCATCGCACTGTTTTCTGCCAGGGATGGTTCTATCTCTATCATCAGGAAGGGATGAGTTGGGAGTATGAGAAGGAGAGGAGACCAACTATCTTAGCTAAAGGTTACCCAGATTTCTGCACGTAACTATAAAGCCTAAATGAAACATGAACTATTTTGTAATCAGATATAAAACTGAGTTCACACTCAATTTTAGAGATTTCAGGAATGTATTATGGTTTTTATCTCCAGTAGCATCAGAATCTAGTGACTCTTAAATGCTGTGCATTGAAGCAATAAAATGCTTTTTACATTTACCTGTGAGTAGAAAATGATCCAATAAAAATAAGCTGTTTAGTTCCCTCCTTAGAGATGCTGGAAAAGATAAGTTGAGGGTATTATTAGATGATATATGCATGGTACTAAATTTGTGATATCAGCTGTCACACACTCACATTCACATACATGTATAAATATAGTTCAGCACCATAGACGTCCTCATGAAATCCACATAAGCTTTGATCTAATACTACATTTACTTGGTTTTATAGCAGGATACAAGTCAGACAAAGCCGATACAGCCTCATGATTCATTATGCATGGCCAGACATTCCATGCTACCCACACATGTTGCTTCTTTTGACTCATCCACACAGGGAAAAGCTGCCAGGGATGAAAACCAGAGTTTATGCAGGTCACTTAATTTATTTTTTCACTTTTCTTCAGATTAAAAAAAACTAACCAATTTAATTTTAACTATTTATAGAAAGAGAAATGTTATGAACCTTATTAATCCACTTTACTGAAACACAGGTTCAATCCCTGGGTCAGGAAGATCTCCAGGAGAAGGAAATGGCAACCTACTGCAGTATTCCTGCCTGGAAAATCCCATGGACAGAGGAGCATGACAGGCTACAGTCCAAAGGGTCGCAAAAGAGTTAGATAGAATTGAGTGACTAAGCAACAGCAGTAGCAATCCATTTTAGTATCAGATGATTGTATTAGAAATGTACTTTTTGGTACCTTATTTCATTTATTTGCAGGTAACTTTAGATAGAAGCCACATCCTCTATTTCCCTGCTGTATTTTACTCCATTTTAGTCATATAGGCCCATGGGCTGTATTTCAACTCCAGCTTCTCCAATCCAGGCATAGTTCCATATAAGAAACAAGCCAGATAAAGGATTTCCTGTTCATGGTAAAGTTCATGTCCCAAGGAAACATTGTTGTGGAAGTCCAAGGTCAGTCCCAGGCTGTCCTACATCAGTCCAGGCTAGATGTTAGCCTATTACTCATGCATTTGCATGCATTTTGCACAATATATACAAATGTAGTCATAATACATTTCAGTTTTTCGCATCAGGTGGTTAAAGTATTGTAACTTCAGCTTCAGCATCATTCCTTCCAATGAATATTCAGGGTTGATTTCCTTTAGGATTGACTAGTTGGATCTCCTTGCAGTCCAAGGGTCTCTCAAGAGTCTTCTCCAACACCACAGTTCAAAAGCATCAATTCTTCGCTGCTCAGACTTCTTTATGGTCAAACTCTCACATCCATACATGACTACTGGAAAAACCATAGCTTTGACTAGATGGAACTTTGTTGGCAAAGTAATGTCTCTGCTTTTTAATATGCTATCTAGGCTTGTCATAGCTTTTCTTCCAAGAAGCAAGTGTCTTTTAATTTCATGGCTGCAGTCGCCATCTGCAGTGATTTTTGGAGCCCCCCAAAATAAAGTCTCTCACTGTTTCCATTGTGTCCCCATCTGTTTGCCATGAAGTGGTGGGACCAATGTCATGATCTTCGTTTTTTGAAAGTTGAGTTTTAAGCCAGCTTTTTCACGGTCCTCTTTCACTTTCATCAAGAGTCTCTTTAGTTTCTCTTTGCTTTCTGCCATAAGGGTGGTGTCATCTGCATATCTGTTATTGATATTTCTCCTGGCAGTCTTGATTCCAGCTTGTGCTTCATCCAGCCTGGCATTTCACATGAGGTACTCTGCATATAAGTTGATTAAGTATTATAATGTAATGTTACATTATTAGAAGAGTATTATTAATAATACCATAAAGAGTTGCTCTTGCAAGTTCACACTCTTTATTCCTGTGTACCTATTTTAGCCCTTAAAAATCTGAAGAAAATGGCTTTACTCTTGCTTTTCCTTGCTCTCTGCTTACTCTTGAGCTTGGGCAATAATCGCTAATGATTTTATTATCACTTACTGTCATGCAGAATATTGCTCTATTTTTCTCTGTTATTTTTAGTTGGAGGATAATTGCTTTACAACGTTGTGTTTGCTTCTGCTATACAGCAGTGTGAATCACCTATAAGTATATATATATCCCCTCCCTCCCACTGCACCCCCATCCCACCCCACTAGGTCATTCATTGCAGAGCATTGAGCTGAGCTCCCTGTTTTCGACAATAGCTTTCCACTAGCTCTCTATTGTACATACAGTAGTGTATATATGTATATGCTACTCTCTCAATTCACCCCACCCTCTCCTTCCCCTCCAGGTTCACAAGTCCATTCTCTGTGCCTGCATCTCTGTTTGCTCTAGACTATTTGTATGGGTTACTTTATTTAATCCTTACTGTGACCCTATGAAATGGGTTCTACCATTGCCCCCATTCTGTAGAGGAGGCTTTGGGAGTTAAAACCTGACCAAAATGTACGAAAAGGACAGAACCATGATGAAACCAATCAGCCTAACTCTAGACCTCACAATGTTGAACAGCATACCACACTCCTTCCCAAGTTATTTAAATTTTTCAATCCAGGACAAAATTATAGAATGTTATAAAGTTGAGATAATAATATAGATGTGAAAGATTTGTTAGGCACATTAAAGAAGATATTAAATGAGAAACTTCTAAACATGTTTTTTGGCACTTAATAAAAATTACTGATAATCATTCCATTATAATTTAATTCAAATGTTTTTTACTTTTTATTTCTACTCATCTGATTCTGTTTTACTTGGTTATATTAGAGCTTGCAAAGTATAGTTCGCAAAAACACTTACATCACCAGTTTTCTTTGTAGATGAAAGAATTTCCTTGTACAATTTTCCTGACCCTAAAAGAACATTAGAAGCAAGTATAAAGACAGAGTATGTGGCATATAATATACAAGACACCATTACGTTAGTGAATGAGTGGGAAAATGAAGAATACACTCTTTTACTTTCATTAGTCGGAGTTGGGTGTGCGTTTGTGTGGCTGTGTGTTTTGAATTTAAAAAAGAAAGGTTTGTTGCCTTCAAAGCATAGAATTTTTGGAAAGATTATTAATCAATGATTTGTCATACATGGATTAAATCCAAACATATAACACATGTAAGTCATCAATATTATGCTGTTAAAATACCAAATTCAGTAAATTTCTATAATGCTTCATAATAATAGTTTTTGAAAATATTTATTTTTTTTAATTTAAATCATGAGTCTTTTATTTTTTTATTTCCTTGTAGGTTTCTAGGATTTTACCTGAGAAACAAGGAGAAATTGAGGCTCACATAAAAGACCTTGGACAGCTTGAAGAGCAATTAAATCATCTGCTTCTGTGGCTGTCTCCTATTAGGAGTCAGTTGGAAATTTACAACCAACCAAATCAAACAGGACCATTTGACATTAAGGTAAGGACTTCTTGCGCTAAACATTATTTTTCAAGAGTGGGAATATTGCCGAAGTAAATCTCTCATTTGTTATCATCATCATTGTTGTTGTTAACTTAAAAGTATGTTCATAACCTACAAATTGAGAGTTATGTTTATTCAGTGGAAATTTTTAGGACTTAAGCCCAGGAGGCAGCATCTCAAGTAACCCTGAGAGAACTGCTCTAAGGAGGTGAAGGAAAGAGCCAAATTATATAGAAGTTTTGCAACAAAGGGCAGGTAGTCTGCACATCAAAAGATTATTGTCAACAAAAGAAAAACCAGATATTTCAAGTTAAGAAATGTAGCACTTTTCTATGTATGGGAAGATGCAAGAGTTTGGGCACATTGAAATCATTCCTTTGCTAAGCACCTCAGCTCTCTGGGGCCAGTATCCTGTATTTTCATATCTTGAATTTCATCAGGACTCACCATAGGGAGTGGCTACTAGCTGACAGGTATTCTTTTCCTTCTTGAATGTAGTAAGAGCTCACTGGCTCACTTTGGAGGACAGTAGTTGCTGGTGACTGTGACCAGCTTGTTTACTGATATGGCAGCAAATATTCCATTTCTCATTTTTATAATGTTGTTGCTGTTCAGTTGCTCAGTTGTGTCCAACTCCTTGTGACCCCACGGACTGCAGCACTCCAGGCTTCCCTGTCCTTCAGTATCTCCCAGAGTTTGCTGAAACTCATGTCTATTGAGTCGGTGATGCCATCCAACCATCTCATCCTCTGTCGTCCCCTTCTCCTCCTGCCCTCAATCTTTCCCAGCATCAGTCTTTTCCAGTGAGTCAGCTCTTCGCATCAGGTGGCCAAAGTATTGGAGTTTCAGCTTCAGCATCAGTCCTTCTAATGAATATTCAGCACTGATTTCCTTTAGGATTGACTGATGTGATCTCCTTGCTGTCCAAGGGACTCTCAAGAGTCTTTTCAGCTGATGAAAGCATAATATATATATATATATATATATATATACATATATATATATATACATATATATATATATATATATACACTTGTTATTATTACTTGACTAGCATTTTTAGTTTTTTCTTCTGGCATTTACTAGCAATAACGTTTCATTAAACTCATATCACTAGAATGTCTTCATCATGTTTATTATTATAATCTACTTTCCATCCCTTCTTTAATTGTACTTAATATATGTCTGTAGACTCCTTATCTAAAACTGAAGTCATTTTGAAGACACAGTGCCTACAGAAGTAGCAGCCCCTTTATAATGTATTTATAAAACCCTCTCAGACTTATTCCAGTTTACCTTTCTATCCTCTTCTGCCTACTACATCCTCTTGTATTCAAGACACAACAAATTCTATAATAGCATTCTATGTACGTGGTTTCATGCCATGCCTGTTTTCTTGAATGCCTTCGTACTTACTCCTAGTAGAGTGAAAAACCCTTTAATAACTGCTTATAATCCTCTGTATCTATCTCTTACAGCCTTTGTACATTGATTGGCACTTAAATTTGAGAGACCTGAGTATCTCATTACACTCTTCTTTGAATGCAGAGGGTGTCTACTTACTTATCTCCCTTGTCTCATTCATTTTTTAACACCCCTATCCCAGGGCTCAGTGCATGGTGGTAACTTGTTAGCATTTTAAAATCAGTGAATAAAAATATTAATGGGATACCCAGAATGGTAATGAGATGGTATAAGAAAACTTAGGGATCCAGACAAACACACTGTCTCTTCTTTTCCATGTCCCTATGCACACTGATTATTCTTTCTTTTCTCCCTTCCCAAGAGCCCATTTCAAGGATTTGTCCCAAATATAATTCCCTATTTTTGCATCGCCTATGGGCCAACAACATTAAGTACCCAATCACATAAACCAATTCACTTCAAAGCACAATCCATAAGTTAATGTAATGATGGGCATTTTCAGACTAGATAAGTTAAATAATATCTTGAGTCAATTACTTCCTTGACTCAAATTATTCAGTGCATTTACTTTCCAGGATTATAATAACCTAATTTTTTTTATCTCCATCCAGTTGGTCTTTTGGTAGGAGATAAGGATAAAAGCAAGTGTGAGGATCTTTTAGAGAAATATAATGAACATTTAGGAAGGATGGAACATCTAAGAATGAGGAAAGGAGAGAGATATAGAAAGGTTTGCCACAACTAAAATGAGTTATATTGGTTTGGCCAAAACCCAAACAAACCTTTGGGTCAACCCAATATTTGCAAAATGCACTGCATTACTTTTACCTTACTTTTTCCTGACATGTTTACATCTCCCATTCTGATAGCTACCCCCAGGAGCAGATGGTCTTGTATAAGTCACAGGTAGATATCATTTCACCCATGCAAAACCCAGGCTGCTCAACCAGTGGCATGGTCTTGGGTTCAGTTTGACAATTATATTCAAGTCACAATAGGCTTGATCCAGAACAAATTTAGGTAGATTTAAGAAGGTATACAGGACAAAGTCACAATATAGCCAGTACAATTATGACACAGTGGAGGTATTGACACCAGGGTGTGGCTTCTGATGAATCCGTCACCCTGAATTTGGGTCATGTGTGGTCAAAGGGATAAGACTGGATGAGTGCAAAGCACATCACTTTTTTTTTTATTAGCACATCACACTTTAAGTCATCAGTTCTAGCCTCCTTTCAACTCTTCCACCTAGCTAGCACCTGGTGTCCTCAGAGGTATTTCACTAGCGCCCATTCTCCAGTTCAACTGTATCTCATCAATACTGATTTTTCATTACTCAGTAAATAATCTCAACAAAGAAGAACAGTTAAATAATAACCTCAGCCAGATTCTCAATTATCTTGGATCAAGTTGTCCTTAAATATCTCTTGATTTAGTGTGACAACAGGAAAGGCCATCAACTCTTTGTTCCTGACCAGAACTAGCTTTTTGGAACTCAGAGATAAAAGCACATTCCTTCACTTTTAAATATAATCTGTGGTGAAAATGTGCTTCTTCAGTAAAATGATGAAAAATATATTCAATACTAGCTCTCTACATGGAATATGTTTAAGAGAAAAGATAACAAAATCATCTGATACAAATGGATATTGTTGACTCAACCAAAGTAACTTTCATCCCAGTGTGTGTACATCAGAATGGTTCACAAAGATGAAAAACTTTTATTGGGTCTTTGTCCATGGCCCATAGGTTCCTGCCAAATGGGCCCCTGCAGTTTAGCATGAAAGCTACTCTCAGCTGTGTTAATCACTTTCCTTTATTAAAGCTCCAAGACACCACTCTCACTGCTGTGTATAGTTTCAGAGAGTCATGATATCTGCCCTCCTGCAGTTCAGTCTAAATCACGGAAGGGAAAGGCAGCTGCTTTTTTCCCTGGCAAGAAAACTGCTTGGCTTCAGCCCTCTGTGCATATCCTGAGTTTTTCATCTCTGAAGTGTAGATTTCAAAAATATTCCTTTAGCCATTTTCTTCTGCTTGTGGATGTATCCAAGGCAGAAAAGATCATAAAATCATATATATGATGACTTGAAAGGTTCTTCCCATAATTCTCAGACCCCTAACTTGTAATCAAGAAATAGAGACCTGTGTGAATAATTTACTAACCAACCTAGTTCTTTATTTCTCTTTGTCTAGCTTCTATCTATATTCGCTGTCTAATAAATGATTTATGAAGATTGCATGGAATTCTTCTGTTAAAAGATGTGCGATTTTAATCTGTACAGCTTGCTGTAGCCCTCTGATTAAAGAAATTAAACTTTTTTCCAGTTAAAGAATTAGGTGGGAAATGGACTTGGCTTAACTTCAAACTGCGGGAAACCAAAAAGTTTGTAAATAGCTTTGAGGACATGCCCATTTTTTTAATACAGAAAAAGAAAGAACTTTAAAAAATATCCTGGGAATGAGTTAATGCAAAGAAAGAGACGCACAAGCACCCTCTACTTCCCAAATTTAAACAAATTTTCCTTGTCTGGCCATGGTGACTATGGCTACCTCTGAAACAAAGAGCCTAAGGCCTTGCCATCTAGGTCATTTGTTTTCTCTAGTCAAACTCTGAGCACCTGTTAGAAAAATATGCAATATCCTCTGAGAGCCTCAGTTTTGCCTGCTTGGCACTTCATGCTTATTGATGAAATGCAGCTAGCTGTGTAATGAAACCCAAATAAAAAAAGCCTTAAGGGCTCTGTTCTAATACATTGTTTATGCTGGTGTGAAAATTGACTGCACATCGCTTGGTTTGTGCAATTTACTCCCGAAATATTCCTATTCAGGAAATCCTGCAAATAGCAATATTCATCTTGAAAATCACCTCACAGAACCCTTAGCAAGCATGATCAATGAGATCGTGATGTAGAGGGCGAAAATTAGGCATAATCACAGCCCTTTCCCATCAGTCAGCCTACAAGAAGGCATGCCTTTGAATTTTGATTTTCAAATGAACTCTCGATTTAGACACAAAATATGTTGATTTTTGATTTCAGAAATGATAATTGAATGCTAATAACCAGGAACCAGTTAAAATTTCTATAAAGGGTGTTATGCTTTTAATCTTTAATGAATGCTTTCAGTAATGACCTGGAGATATACTACTTATTTGACACGAAACTGCCTAACTACTGTTTTCCAAAATTTTATTAAAATAAGAGGTGGAGGGAACATGTAATTTTATGTTGTCTTACTAACTGAATTATGCACATATTGATGACAGGGAGGGTTCCCCCCCTTCAAAAATTACTTTCCACCTGTGATCCATTAAAAAGCATGACAGTGTTGTACTGGCTCTTCCTTACCACGTAAGACACTTGGTTGTCTATAAGGTCAATTTTACACTGAAAAATACCAAAGGACACAACTGCATTGATTGAATGTTAAAGTATCTGAATACCAAAATTCCCTGCATGTGTTCACATTGCTGTTAGTATTATCAAAGAAAAATTGCATAGGACAACTTACCATGCAAGTAAGATTTTATTCAAGTCTATTGCAATAGGGGAGAGGGAGTGCACTCAACACTG